CATCTACTAGTATGGCTAATTAAAGGTGTAGTGAAAACCATTAACAGTTCGATATTAGACCGTCGTCTGGTGCAAATTGGCCACAAAGGCCGCCAGCATTGAAGAATTCTTCTCTATCATCTATTGGGTGTCAAATAAATTGCCAAAAACATCCAGGTACCGCATGTTTCAAACAGCAGAGTCTATTGCAATTCGCCTCAAACAACCAGTGCTTTGTGTTCAAATGAAGCACATCCAGCCAACCTCCAGTGGAGACTTTAAATTCATGAATGCATAATATTATCTTTCCTAATTTTTCTGATATTCAGCTTATTTTATGTTGATGCTGTTGAACTGTAATGTACGGACATAACTATTATTGATTCGATGTTACTTAAACAACATTAATGTTGTTCATAACACTAATTATTTCATTCACTGTTGAGCCTGATGATGAAAGGCTAATCGAAAAGAGTATTCTTTGTTCAGTAACCATTCTTTTGAAGAAAAATAATAATTTCGAATAGGTCTGGTTTTTTGAAACAATGAACACTTGTCTTGAGCCCCAATGACAACATCAGTTCATAAAGGCATAAATTGATGAAAAATAACAAATAGGAGTAAATGCACACCCCCTGCATTCCAGTAGTCTTCACTACTAAATAGTATATAACACGCTATTCGCTGACAAAAAATACTCCCTAAAGTCGAACAAATAATTATAATGTTGAGTTAATTTAGAAAGGCGTTTTTTCTCCTGGTGGAATTCTGTTTGTGAAATGAACATGATGACAGAAGTGAAAACAACAGAATTCAAGACAACCGCCACCAACCGGCCCGCTTGCTAAGTTATCCCATGAATTAATAGACAGAGATGTGGACCGAATTTGCGACGGAAAATCAACTTTAGTTAGATAGCTTGATTAATAGCAGTCGGTCACTTATGCATCACTTCTAATTCAGTGTGATTAAAACTAAGACAGGAAGGCAGGAGTGAATAATTTTAACTATCTATAATAGTGACTAGAATCTCCACTACAGATAAGATTTTATTTTGATAAATCACAGTGTTATACCCTAATATTAACTGATGAATATGTTTCGAGCCCAGTTCATTAATTCTCATAATCATATCAAGTTACTACTCTCACAACTGTTTACTTCATTTATATACATGAATGGAATTGATGATTAGACATTTAAATAAAATCCACATAGGATAATGTACATTTAGAAATAATAATATGAGTGTTATTGATCAAGTACAATCAGGTGGGAAATAAGACGAGTGTTTTTATAGTCCTAATAAGTGACTTGTTAGAATGTTGTGATGTGTATGTGAATTGAAATAGAATTTTGAGATTTCTGATTTGACTGACTGACTGGTGGTAATAATATCTTCCATATTTCTGGTATTTGTATTGAGTCATTTCTGTTGCATGTGTTGGTTATAGACTCGAGGAGCCAGGCAGGATTCAGTAATCAATCTCTCTCTCTCCACCTACTTACATTACTTATTAGAATTTTAACACTCTCCCACCCTATTGTGTGGTTATGTGTTACTGCATGCAGTGCAATCGCTGAGCTTTTTTCTAAATTACTAACCTTATCAGCGTCAACCATTTTTACTTTAGCTAAATTCTTATGTTCCAGCAATCTGACTACCACATCTTATTTCCCATCTGATTGTAACTGATCAATAACACTAATATTATTATTTCTGAATGTACATTATCCTATATTGATTTTTGTTCAAATATCTAATCAGTTTGATAGAAGAGAACACGAAGTTCGGCAAAGATATATCATTTTCAAAATAAAATTAAAATGAAATCACTGAAAAGATATCTTTACTGAACTTTGTGTTCTCTTATTTATAATCAATTTCACTCATGTATATAAATGAAACAAGGAAGTTGTGTGTGAGTAGGGACTTGATATGATTGTGAGAATTACTGAGTTGTGCTCGAAACGTGGTCATCAATTAATATTACTGTACAATACTGTATGGTTTATCAAAAAAAAAAAATCTTATCCATAATGGAGTTATACTCTATCACAGTGTCCAAGTTTTATACTTATATAGTGAATGAGAAGTTATACATCACTCATTCGTATAACAGAAATAGGAAAATAAAATTGGAATCTAACGGAAATTAATACAGGAGCACTGGGTCAGTAATTTCCAAGACAGTGATCAGTTTCCTAATGTTATTCAACCTTTTTTTTTTCTAAAAATTTCAACTTCACTCATCACCTCACTACACGACTTCCACTCATATTGTGTAATTATTAATATATCACCTCCGATTTTAAAAGCAACTTTTTTTGACATCCCAAACTATTTCTGGTTATGAATACAGTCCATATACAAAAAGCCAACATGGAATTGACAATCCATCGACTTTCAAAGCTTCGTGCCCCTAAGCAGAAAGAGGAATCTGGTATACGCTCTTTCCTCGAGGATTCGGAAGATATTCAGTGAGGAAGTAATTGACGAAGAACTGCGTAATCTTCAAAGAACTCTGATAGAAAACGGTTTTCCGCCCAGGTTCATAGACAAGAATCTCAAATCGAAGAAGACTTCCGAAAATGTCCAATCCGTGCCAAAGAAAGCACTTCTGCATAATCTAGAATTCAAAGGTGACATTGAAGCAGAAATCCTTCGTAAACGCCTTTTTAAATCTCTGAGGTAAACATACTTTACCGTGAGCCTACAACTGACGTTCTCCTGCAAGAATCTGTTTAGCCGGAACGCTAAAGACAAGCTGTCGCATTGGGCCGCCTCAACGTGCATATACCAGTTTACTTGCTCTTGCGGAGCTGGGTACGTTGGCCGTACCATGCGCCGACTTGAAAAACGCGCTCGTGAACTCTATCCAGCCTGGCTAGTAAAAGGAGAACGAAAACATGCATACAATTCATTGACAGGACATCTGTTCAATTCAGGACATTCAGCGCCTTTCGAAAAATCCTTCAAAGTAATATACAAGGTTCGATCAACCCTATCAAAAGGAGTAAAATCAAGACATCCGGGAATAGCCGAGGCCCTAACCATCCAAAAGCTCAAACCCACGCTATGTATCCAAAAGAAATACGTCCAATCCTTGTCCCTGCCAAGGCCATTATAAACACGTAATTCTTTCACTAATGATCATCCCACTGCCTTTCTTATCCAAACTTCCTGTTTATCCATGTTCTTTTTCGGTTTTTCTTAATCTCTATTTACGCTACCATATTTTCATATCCGAAATTCCTATCTATTTAGTCATTTTATTATTTCTACATATTTAATCCCTGATTGCATAAACAATTATTCATCACATTAGTTATGATCCCACTAGATTTCTTTATATCCAAACATCCTGTCTATTCTTGTTATTTCTACATTTCTAACCCCTAATTGCACTACATGTCAATCTTCCCAGTAATTATGAAGCTGCTTTTTTTGAGTTTTATCCTTCTCCCCTGTGTTTATTAATGGCATTTTAATGCCTAATTGTAATTTCATTAATCTGACTCCTGGCGGGAAATTATACTGGAACTTTCATACCCATTTATCATAAATACACGAATGTACAGCTATCATCTAGTTGATGACTTCGTCGAAAAGAAAATTTTCTTCGCTCCAACCGTCTTTTTAATAATAATCCCTGTGATCCAATGTGTATATTCCGTGAATACAGTTGTGTAAATTTAGTTTACATCAAACTAACTTAGATCAATGGTTGAATGTCATTCACACCAAAAATTAAAAGAATCGAAGTATTAGCCTGTTATTTGCCTAGTTCAGAACGATACTAACTACCAGAGAACTCTCATTGTCTCGATAAACTATCCTCAAAATAGGCTAATTAGTTGTAAAGTCTAATGAAGGGATTTGTGACCTCAAGAGTGTGGTTTATTTTATTCCAAAACACGTTGAATAATGCACTTATGAGTATTATCGTTTGTCTAAGATTTTAAAATGACTGAAATCGTTAATAGCAGTAAAAGTACAATACCACACACTATTTAAATTAGTTTTTAGGGGACAAACCATTCATTATGTTCTTAACAAAGATTGTAATTGTATTTCTCAACTCCTGGACAATACTGCATACGAAGGCAACTGGAAATGCTTAAATAATAACACGCAACAATGTATACAATATTCAAGGTGTCTCTTCAGCACATATACCTTAATAATGTTACATCATATGAGTGTGAATATTTTGGTTACAGATAGTCTCTATTTAATTCGTTTAGCATGAATCTTTAGGTAGAACTGGTAAGGATTAGTGGGTCGAAATCAACCAAAAGGAAGCATGAAACTATGTTTCGCACTTGTTGGCGCTCATCAGTAAGGCGTGTCTGCAAACTCGTAGGGATTGATATCCCCTGTGAGATTCAAACCAATGTGACACAGTGCTTCAGTTAGCCATGTTTCAGCTAAGCTATTCGACCTCGAGAATGAGATTGGTTTCCTTCATAACTTTAATTCTAGAGGTCGACAATCCCACCAACGAATCTTTTCAAGAATTGTTCTATATCATTTAAATAAATTAATCGTGATAATATACCGAATCAATATTTTACGAGAGATGACTTAAAAACCACATGATGTTACATACTGCTAGTTGACTAATAAACAGCTAGGCACCACCAGTGAGGAGCTTAGCTCTATACAAACAACCATCCGGTCTTTAGATCACTTTGATGTGGCTAATAAGCACTAGTCTTTGATATGAGTAGTATCCAACTACTGAAATCTGCCCGTCAGTAGTATATACAGCTAAGCTTGCTTTTATTGATCATCATTGAATGAACTCAAGCAGACCACATATTATAATGTGAATAATTTCAGTTTCCAAAGGAAACTGTAGTGAGATTTCACTTCGAAATGTGTCAATTATAAATTGTGAATTAATTTTCAAAACTGAGAATATCATTTCACTTGAAAATCTTTACACCAAAAATATAAGTTTAAGAGTATTGTTAGTTTTTTGTTATTAGATAAGATATATAGTACATACACTTACTTGATTTATCGGACTACCCATACATGCATCAGTATTCAATTCTAAGAGAATTGGTTCACCAAGACGTGCAATTTTCCGTCCATTAAATGTTCCAGCAATACAATGAAAACGTTCAGGTACAGTTTTCCAATTTCTTGCTAAATGTACCATATCACCAGCATCGAGCACTCCAAAACCGAATAAATGATTGAATTCTAAACCAGCACCATTGATTGTCCAATTATGATTATGTTGCCTGTCGTATAGATGATTACGTTTCGATGTAAGCACAGTTAAATGTTGTACATCTCTCCAAGTGAGTTCTGGTTGAGCTTCTAATGCTAAAGCAAAAACACCAGCAGCTTCGGGTGCTGCTGCTGATGTTCCTGAATGATGAAGTGTACAATTTCCGTATAAATCAATAGTTCCCACACCAGCATCATGAACAAATGGACTTTTACCATTTGAAAATGTTGATGCCAGTGTTGATGCACACGATTCATCATAAACAGCTGTATGACCATCATTTGTAACAGAGTTAATACTTATTGTCCACATACTTGCTGCATAACCATCACAATTACAGTCATCATTCTCTCCACCATCACCTGATGCCCAAACATAAAGACTTCCCTTGCCTTTACGACCATTATTTACCCCATCGACAAGAGCACGCATAGTCTGATTTCGTGGACCATCAACAGTTGTTCCATCATCTGTAGGTCCCCAACTAGCTGAATATATATCGATAAGATCACGTGCATAAGCCATTGCAGCTGCTTCAATCAGATCAGTCATATACGGTTGATCCAACATTCGTAGTCCAGCCACCTTGGAACCCGGTGCAACGCCAACACCACATATACCATTTCCAGCTATAGCAGAAACTTCACCAGCACACCGTGTACCATGACTATTAAACCAATCATCTGTATAACGAGGATACGGAAAGGCATCGTTACTTGAAAAGTCATAACTCGCCTCTACCGCATAATTTGCTGCTATATCTGGATGTAAATAGTCCACACCATCATCCATGATAGCTGTAATCACTCCACGACCGGTGATATTTTGTGACCATGCAGACAGTACATTTAAATCCAATCCAGGAACACCATCAGCCTGACCTACATTGTGTAAATACCATTCCTTCGAGAATAATGGATCTGTTCTACTTCTTAGCTCACTTAATTCTTCTTCTTTATCTGATAATACTCTTGCTGTTGGAAGTTCTATTCGACTTAAGCCATCAGCAGATAATGGACGGAAACCCCTTTTCCTTCGAACAAATCCTTCAATTTGTACAGCATTAGCTATTTGTGGATGTTTGTTTAAGCGTTCATTATGAATATGGCTTGGTGTACCACGTGCATGTGGTAAGCCTAAATGCTGGAATACAAATTCATTTGGTTCACCATAATTATGCTGACTTAATGGCATGAAACCAAGTTCTCTGGCTATTTGGTTAGCTGAATGTGTTAACTTATCTCTATCGTCTCCATCATGTTTTAAACGTACTAACCATTGATTTGTATGTATTCTTGCATATACTGTTTGTATAATTATATGAAGATAAATAATTCCGATTTTGAACCCGATCATACTATTCAAAGCGTACTTGAACTTGAACAGAAACTAACTCAACGTTTTTCAACACACATCATACAAAACTATGAGTACTAAATCTACCTTGTTACCTAAGTTATGTAAGAAACTCAATTTTTTATGAGTGAGTGGGCGAAATGAAAGACAGTAGTAAATTTTGATTGGTTGATTATTCGTCTGTCTTTACATCTATCTTCAGCCTTAATACAAAAAAGAGAAGGGAAGAGAAGCTTTTCAAAACTAGAACTTGAAGTTATTATCTAATAAGCTAACTACAAGGTCATATTTGAAAAAGGTAAAGATTCTAGTTGGGCGCAGATGTTTTCCGCCCACGTACATTTTGTCTTCCATTATCTACTCTTGTTTAGCTAAAAATATCGATAAATTGAGTAAATACCTATTGTTTATTCTCCTTTTTGATTACTTAAGATATTGGCGACATAAGAGGGATGATACATACATTTAATAGAGTAAAATTAGGTTTCTATTTATAGAAAAAATAGAAAATAATGATTCTTATTAGTGATGGAGGGAATAACTCAGAGATTAAACAAAACTATTTAACAATAATATAGTTCTGTATCCCATCCAAAATATGTCTTTTCTGCTTTCAAAATTAGTTAACGTAATCATTTAATCGACAGAAACAGATTTTTGCACAAGTGTTGATTCGCGGGGATTTGATTTGATTGGTTAGGGGATAAGATAATGAGCTGACATCTGTTAGTGAATTATCGGGAGACTAACAGGGAGCTCGAATAGCTCAGTGGTAACGTCTCTGCCTGTAGCACTGGGTGATGCGGGTTCGAATCTCAGAAGAGACATGAGTTTTTAATAATAATAATAGTAGTGATAATAACAGCTTTATTCCAGACAGTATATGTGGTATAGGTATGAAGTTTTCAGCGTGCATTACAATATATTGCATCTAATTACCTCATAAATTTTATAAGATTTTAAAATCAAAAAGCAACAACCAAAACAAAAATAGATATATAAAAAGAAATGAAAGGAACAGCATTGCGTTTGCATTTTAAACAAGGCACCACAGGATATGAAATATAAAACTAGTGTGTAGTAGAAGATGAGAACAACAGTGAAATAGAAACGAAGAAAGGAAAAACAAAAACTAATGGGACTATTTGTTAGAGTGCCGTAGTAAGTTGATAGTATCATACCTAACGGATTTCTCATCAAATAACAGCTGTGCCAGATAAGGTATTGTGGAGTTTTGTACTTGGTAGTCCTAGCATGTAGCCTCCTATAGCTGCTTCTAGTTCTACCAGATGAAATGCAAGAAGAGAGCTGCGTATAGAAGGGATTCTCGGGGTCTGACAATATAGTATTCGCCAGTTTCTTACATGATATTATATGTCTATCCACAATAGTGTTAACAAGTTAGTTGGTTTGACGATATCCCACTTGACCTACTAACGGCTTTTAGTGCCCTTCTCAGCGAAGCAAAGTCTTTCTTAAGTAATCCAGGAAAGATTAATGGGCAGCAGTAAAGGGGAATGGATAGAATACAAGAATTGACAGACTGAGAAAGCAAAGACTGCTTTATACCAGACTGCTTTGACTTCTTAACGTAGAACGTTAAGCGAAACATCTTTTTATTAACTAGCAAGATGTGGGAGGACCAGGAAAGATCGAAGGAAATACTCAGTCCAAGGTACTTGACTTGACTTCCTTCAAGGTTGCTGATGAATGTCAACTAGCACGAAACCTAGGTCCAAGCCTTCCTGCCGATTGCCTCCAACTATCTAGTATATATTTTGTGTGCGTCGGTGGCATAGCGGTTAGGACACTCGCCGACCATGCACATGGTCCGCGGTTCAATCCCTGGCCACAGAAGCACTCCTTTACCTCGCTAGGCCAGAAATAATCCTGATATAGAGGAAAGTTTGGGCCAGGTGAGGCTAGCAACTCCATCCTGTAAAAGTAAACACTGCTGCAGAAACTTCGAGCCACTAGCTTGAAGCCTTATGTTCCACTGGGGAAGGTGAAGGAGAAAAAGTATTGGACAGCCAGCTGTTTCGACATCCTAGTTTGAGACTCTTCGGCAATAAGCACCCACCACAGGGGGGGATCGAATCCAGGACCTCATGGTTATATGGCTAGCTCATAGACAATTAAGCCTTCGGGACCCAATCCAATGACCAGCACAGCTTCCAACTTCTTCCAATTATTCACGATATAGCATGACCACTAGCCAATGTCATCTCTGGAGGGTATCTATCCTCATACCCGACTTGCTGTACCCCACTGGTCATGACTTCTCACTTGAAATAGATTTGGTGTTTAATTTTCTTCTTAATAGTGACAATCTGTTTGATGGAAAACAAGTCAATTCTACCATGTACTACTGGATGATATGAGTCGTTGAATACCGCCCAAATCAACTAATGCTGCTTGTTAGACAGATCAAAGTAATGTGAACACTGGATGGCCGTTTCATTAACTTGAGGCCAAGCTCAATAGCAGGCTACATATTATGATATAGAAATCTTGGAAGACCAAGGAGAGTCGTGGTAAATATTTACTTAATGCAAAATTCCCATTGTAACACATAAAAAAAATATCAAAATAAGTGATTCAATGAAGAGACTCTTTTCAACGAATTTATTATCAAGCTGTACAATCGTTTATATATGGTTTTTAAGAAGTTATATCAGATGATGGAATTGAATCATAGGTGTGAACGAATAAAGTAGTAATAATAATAATGGTAATATGAAATGAAATGAAAATGTTTGTGGATTATAATCTCAGTTAAATGTCAACTACAATCTGAAATCAGTGCTACTTCATGGACCAGAGACTTGGTGCGTCATGAAGAGCACCTTAAACAAACTACACACCTTCATCAATAACTGTCTTCACTAAACACTTTGCTTAAGATCAGATGGCCAGAAACGATCAGCAATAGTGAGGGATCTCTGGGAGCGAACCAACACAGTAGGGACCAATTGTGCAACAAATATGCAGGAAGAATTGGAGATGGATTGGCTAGCCATACTCTGAGGAACCCATCAAGTGACATCACAGGACAAGCACTCAAGTGGAACCCGAATAAGAAGCAGCCTGCTGATCGTCCACGGGTGACTTGGAGGAGGTCATTTGAAAAGGAGATGAAAGCATGTGGGCAGAAGTAGAGCACAGTGAAAACACTGACAGAGGACCGAATGTAATGGAGACGTTTGGCTGAATCCCTATGTTCCTCTAGGAACTAAAGGAAACAGTAATAATAATAAATGTGGCTAAATAGTTAGTATCATATATAGAATTCATAAGAGGCACAGAACTTGGAAGGGGTGTGCAATTATAGGATTAGTAGGCAAATGTACGTCGGTGGCACAGCGGTTAAGACGCTCGCCGACCATCCACATGGTCCGGGGTTCGAGCCCCGGCCGGCGCACACCTTCACCTCGCTAAGCCAGTAGTGGTACGGGTAAGGAGGAAAGGTTGGGCATGAGGCTAGAAACCCCATCCTGTAAAAAATCAACACTGGTACGGAATCTTCAAGCCTATAGCTTGGAGCCCTATGTTCCACTGGGAACGTGAAGGAAAAAAAAGGCGAATCGAATAGAAACAAAAACGTTACTTAACATTGTGTGGGATTCGATAACATGGAATTAATTGTTGCAAAACATAAATGATTTAGAATGACAAGGGGAACGAGTGAAATAATACCCGGGGACAATTCAAAGTGAGAATAATAATAGTAACAATTGACGTGATAAACGAAGAGTATTCAAATTGAATAAACAAAGCTAAAAATAGGTATAGTCAAAATATGATTGGGGATTACCATACTTTAACATAAATGGATTAAGATCATGACAGTTGGAGGGGTTGGAGGAACTTTTTCCGTATATAGAGATCTGGCTTTTCTGTTTCGATAGCCAAAGCCTCAGCAATACAGATGAGTCGGGTGGATCTCTGTCTGTCTGTCTGGATTCAACGTAGAACTTGGCACCGAAGTGCAGCGGTTCCAGTTGCCACGTTCCAAATAGCACACAAAGGTAGACTAGAAGATGAGTGAAGAGAATCAATACAGTCTGACAAGTATAAGAGTGAAACAGAATGGGTAATGGTAGAAAGGAATATGAAAGATTACAGAGACTGAATACATCTCCGCCACTGACAGCGATTTTGAGTCATGTCACCTATTGTCTCCAGCCATTGATTCCTAGAGTCCCGATGGCCCCAACCCGGATGTCTGCATCTCCCTCCACCTGATTCAGTTTAAATCTCAAGGATTTCGTGGATTGATTCCATGTTTTTGTTTGGCCACCACTCTCTCTTTTCCAACCTGCACCACCTATATCAGCTAGTAATACCCGTCGGGGGAGGCGATGGTTAGGCATGCGCAGAACGTGACCTAGCCATCTCAATCTATGTAACTTTATAGCCTCGTCGATTGATTTTCCCTCTTTGCCCAATACTCTACGCCTAACATCAACATTACTTGCTTTATTAAACCACATAACGTGAGAAAGAGATCGTAGACATCTTTAATCGAAAGCAGTCAACCTTTTCATGTCTTCAACTTGTATTGGCCATGTTTCAGAGCCATAGAGAAGAAAGGAGTGAACTGCTGAGCAGTACACACGTCCCTTGGTTGGTAGCCGGATGTCACGCCTACGCCAGAGATGGTGTAAGTTGGCGAAAGCAGCTCGAGCTTTTTGGATCCGTGATGAGATTTCGTCGCCAATCAGTCCATTGGTGCTGATACAACTTCTCAAATAGGTGAAGTGGTCAACATGTTCTATCACTTCACTCCCTATTTGAGCAAATTACTTTTCACCTTGTAGACAACTTTAAAGGCGGAGGCTGTAGAGACAGGGTGAACATTATCGACCAAGTGTTCAATGATCACACTTTTTATTGCTCTACTCCCTCCCCTCTGTGTAACCAGTAGGGTTAGCATTCTTGCACTCTCTTTGAAAAAACTCTAATCGAACGACCAATATACCTAGATCCACACGAACAGGTGAATTGATAAACGCACATGTGATTATAATCACAGACATTTTAATTGCATTTCATACTACTTTTATTATTTTATGCATTCATATCTATGATTCAATTCCCTTACC